GCTGAGCCTGTGCATCTGGAGCCTGGGCTCCGCAACGGGAGAGGCCACAAGAGTGAGAGGCCCGCATACCGCAAAAAAAAAAAAAAAAATACACTGAACAATATTTTATGAGTAGATGTCTACAATATGGCATCAGAACTACCAATGTTGCTTTAAGTACAGCAAAATTCCAAACTCTAAAATTTTCATTTTTCTTCTTGAACAAATTTTGATATGCCTTTGTTCTTTCACAAAACTCTGGTATGCTACATATTAAACATGTTCCAATCTTGATGAGTATTAAACATTTTATTTAAAGATCTGAAAGTAAAAAAAAAGTACACAAACACAGATCACATTATACCAAGGCAGTATTCTACATGACAAAAATCAAAACAAAACAAAATTTTAAAAGTAAATGTACAGATACTAAACAAGCATAATACCTGATATGCATTTCAGGCTGCATACACATAGAATGATCTGACCACATACATGCTTATACAAAATAAATTTTTTCTTAGAACACCCAAATTCCAACCATTCTGTCAACTGCCTTAGTCCCCTGGTGAGTAATCTGAAACAACTTCTATGTAATATAAAAAGAATTGGCATGGCACATAAGGACTACAAAAAGCAGAATACAGTTTAAAACATATTTGTAATTCAATTCTGTATAAAATATACACAGTAAATCTTATTAGTTTTTATAAAAAAAATATTTTAAAAAAAGGCCACCCTGAATAATGGTTAAAACCTCATCACAGAAAAATGTTTCATCATTTGTAACATTGATAGAAAACTGATGGATTTTTTTTTTTAGAAGATATCTAACTTGAAGAAGTCATTTACTCAAAACTTATTTAAAATTGTATTTAAGATAGTAACTGTGCACCCCTTCTCAAAATGTTTTATCATGAATACTCTCTCTAATATGTAACTAAGGACAAACTAAAAGAAAAGCTCAAAAAAATGTTTCTCAGGCTTCCCTGGTGGCGCAGTGGTTGAGAGTCCGCCTGCTGATGCAGGGGACGCGGGGTTGTGCCCCTGTCCGGGGGGATCCCACATGCCGCAGAGCGGCTGGGCCCGTGAGCCATGGCCGCTGAGCCTGCGCGTCTGGAGCCTGTGCTCCGCAACGGGAGAGGCCACAGCAGTGAGAGGCCCGCGTACCGCAAAAAAAAAAAAAAAAAGTTTCTCAAAATGAGGTCCAAAGACCCAACAGAATTCTAAGGCAGGCCCAGTAATGTGCATATTAAACACACTTACTACGTGATTAGTCCACATTCTAAAACTTGAGAATGAATGCCCTAAGGGAAACAGTACCACTTAAAAGCAAGATGATAAACATATTTCTGATATGTCAAAAATTTCTATAAATTTATGATTTGAAGTGAATATTGCTTTTTGTTTTAAAACAAGTTTCAGGTCTTAAGAGAAACATACATACCTCTTAAATAAACATGTAAATTATATAAACATTTCCTTGGAGGTTTTCATTGCTTTCAGACATAGCTATTCAAAGAAAAGAGAGTACATGGCCAGAAACTTTGGAAAAATTACATTTCAAATGAAATGCAGCATCCCCGTGCCCCCCAAAAAAGAGATAACTTAATAAATGCCTACATATTTTAAATCATTCTAAATTTAAGACTAGATAGCTTTCCTAAAAGTTACATTTTACTGAGATTGGACAATTATAAGTAATTTAAATGATCATGGTTATTTTTTAAGTCCCTTTTCATAAAAAAAAATTAAAAATAAACAACAGAAGGATGCTATCATTGGCATCACTTTAAATAATAAATTGTTAAACACTAATATTAATAAAAAATAATCTCAAGAACTCTGCCCCTGAAATGTATTCTACTCTGATTACATGTGTTACCTACTTAACAAAAACTCACTTATGGAGCTGGAACTGTGATGAGTGTGAGTGTACGTGCATATTCTGAAGATTTATTCATGTTTACTTTATTATTTTTTCTTAGGTTTCATTGAAGACTCCACAAAAAGGATCCGAAAGTATGGATAATGTGATTTGGGGAAGAAACAAGCATGGTTCAGACACTATTTGGAAGATAAATTATTTTCCTGTATACTGACTTATAAGGAAAAAATAGTATACATTCTGTGTCCACTGGATAATGGAATGCTTTTACATTTGGTAAGCAAGTGAGTGCTTCCTTATTATTTAAGTCAAATCACAAAAAGCGACTGTGAGATTTACTGTCCAATAAGAAATAAACATTACCATTGCACTTTTCTGTATCTATTTTAAGTTTCTATTTTTTCCTTTTTATATACTGAGAAGTGTTCCATTTAACTGCACCCTGGGTTCTTTGAACTACATTTATTAACACTCCAGTTAAAGTTCCCACTACAGGGACAAGCTCAGACACTAACCCCGTAACATACTAAAGAAATCACTTGAATCAGTTTTTCAAAAACAGCTAATGATTTGGAATCTGATTCTTAATAAAATGTGCCTATTTTCCTCCTCAAGGAGAATCTGTATTCCCTCATTCTAAGCAAGCAACATCTTTTATTACCAATTTATAATTGTTGCCTTAAAAATCAATAATTTAATTTGCTAAAGCAATGATAAAATTTACAGCTGAATTTTTAAACACACAGAACTCAGAAAGTAATAGGTAATATAACAAGTTGTATTTTGCATTACTCTTTTATTCCAAAATGAAACACTTAAATGACTTCATGAGTATGACAAAAATCTGGCGAGGCTTATGATGTAATTCCACCGTGTGCCTTAATGCAACAGATAATCTTTTTAGTCAGTACTTCCTTTAAACAAAAAAGACAACTTTGTTATTCATCAGTAGGTTGCTGGATTACCAGTGTAACGAAATTTTGACATGATTGTCTGCAAAGTAGTTTCATTTTTTTTCCATAGTTAAACTTAGATGTAATAATTGACTCTTACAGTCAACAACAGAATATACTGAGTGCTTTTTTTGCAGGTGAAAAATATAAAATGGTTCTTTGTATCCAGGCTGGTAACAAGTTTATCCATGCACTAAATGGCAACACAAGCAAAATGCATAGTTGAGAAAGGAGGATCAGACACATTCTTCTGCAGACATCAAAAGAGGATTAATGTACTCAAAACCTTCAAATTCAGACTGATCGATCTTCCTCACAATGTCACTGTTGAAAGAAAAATAACTTTCATCATCAAGATTTCTTTGATTTTTTTACTTAAATGGAAAAATAAGATTAAAAAATTAAAAATAAGGCTAATTTATATAAGTTATGGGGGGAAAACCTACAAGTTTTTAGATTAACCCCAAAACATTTTCTAGAAGAATCAGGAATGTTGAAAATCAAAAATGACTAATAATCCCACGAGCAAGTTTAGAACCAAAAAGTAGTCCAAAACTGAAGACTGGGAATAAACAAGGTACAAATTGTCATAATCCTAGGCAATCTTAACTTTTGACCTGAACGACATTCATAATTTAACATCCAGGTCTGTATTAGTGTGCAATTTAGTAGTCACCCCAACAGCCAGATGGAAGATGCTGAAGAGAAGGCCCAGAGGAAGTTAACCAAAATGAAAAGACACGAGGAAGAACACTGAAAGACCTGGAGTGAGGAAGGGTCACCACGGGGAGGCAGTGGGTCACAGGGAGCAGAGAGGCTGGCATTCTGCTACACTGGGCTCCTAGTTTAATTCACAAGAGTATTTCCATCAAATATTTTACTACTTAAATGTTCGTACCGGGGCTTCCCTGGTGGAGCAGTGGTTGAGAGTCTGCCTGCCAATGCAGGGGACACGGGTTTGAGCCCTGGTCTGGGAGGATTCCACATGCCGCAGAGCAACTGGGCCTGTGAGCCCCAGCTACTGAGCCTGCACGTCCGGAGCCTGTGCTCCGCAACGGGAGAGGCCGCGATAGTGAGAGGCCCGCGCACCACGATGAAGAGTGGCCCCCGCTTGCCACAATTAGAGAAAGCCCTCGCACAGAAACGAAGACCCAACACAGCCATAAATAAATAAATAAACAAAATGACGGAGGAATTATGTTTAAAAAAAAAAATGTTCGTACCATACTGCAGAGCACCACGTTACACAGGACATAGTCTCTTCCTTCAAGAAGAGAAGGAAGGTAGGTACTTCACATAACAGAAAGCAGTACCTGCTAAGTTTCCTACAGGACAAGCTAAGTTCTACTCTAACCACAGTTCTAAAGAAAAAGGTGACTTCTACTTGGAGAAATCAAGAAAGGCAGCATCATTCCACACTTACTGAATGGAATTATGAAAGATTATGGTAGGTCTGGGGAATGCCAGTAATTTATTAGAGTTAGAGCACAGGAATAGAAGGGTGTTAAGTGGCAGAGGACATTGGAAGGAAGGTAATGGCTAGCTCAAAGACGCCAGTGATGTTTACACTAAGTAGGTCCACCTCGATCCATCAAAGGTCTGGTTACATCTGAGGTAGCTCTGAAAGATGGGGAAGATTTCAATAGGTGAAAAGGAAGGAGCAATAGAGAGGAGATGTTAACAGCATGCTATCAGGGAATGGTGAGTAACTGAGCCTGATGAGAACGCAGCGTTTCTGTTAGAGTATAGTGAGAGATATGGCTAGAAAGTCAGGCTGAAGTAGATGGTGGGAGGCCTTAATTATTAACCAAGGGGATAGACTTTTTCTGCTAGGCAATGTAGGAGTTACTGAAGGTTTCTGATGAAAGGAGTTAAAGAACTGGAGTGGTACTTCCTGAGTGTACCGAACAGGCTGCAAAGTAAAGAAGGAGTCGATTAGGATGGCATGATATTCTACGTATGATCTGAGAGAGCTGAGCTGGGCTTATGGCAGTGGGAATGGAAATGACACAAGTGATGAAGTAAAGCAAAAAGAGACGAGGACTTGGCTGCTGAAGGTATTATATAGTTTGGTAAGAAAAAGGTAAGAGTCAACAACCACTGACTCAGCTCTTAAATCCGAATGCAGGACTGCACGGTGGTGTAACAAGCAGAAAAGGGTAAATAAAAACAAGGACCCGAGTGAGAACAATTTAGACTTCATATGTTTGAGGTGCGTATCTGACAAACTAGGAGAGATGTTCAAACTAGTAGAGGGGAATGCAGCTCAGGAGAGGTATCAGGGCAGGGGCTAGGAGCTTTAGAAACCACCGCTCATTCATTCTTCACAGCACCTTGGGAGGTAGGCAATATGAGAAGACACAGGCTCAGTGAACTTATGCAATTCACACCAGGGTACCCAGCTGGTAAGAGGTGGCGCTGGGATTCAAATTCCTATCTTTTGGTTAAATCCAGTGCTCTTTCTAATACACAATGCTGCCAGAAATAATGATTTGGGTACACCTCTCCCTCCTCTAGTAGCCACTAACCTTCCTGAGAGATTGGCCTATGCCTTGATCGTCTTTGAATGTGCAGTACTTAGCACAGTGCCTTTTGCTCAAGAATTGTTTGCCAATTTAGCTGGGAGTCATTTAATAGCTCGTATCCATGCTACGAGGTTGGCTGAAATCTCCAAGGTACAAACTGCATATAGCAAAGAGAAAGCAGTGATGAACAGAACCACGGAGCATCCTAGTCTCAAGGGGACAGGGAAAATAAGATGACAAGTGGTTAAAGAGATGACGCAGAAAGAGGGTAGGCAGTGCCAACTAAAGCAGGCCATGAGTGCCAGACGCTTTACTGACATCGGAGGAGATGGGGGCAGATCAAAAAATGCTTTAGGGCTTCCCTGCTGACGCAGTGGTTGAGAATCCGCCTGCCAATGCAGGGACACGGGTTCGTGCCCTGGTCTGGGAAGATCCCACATGCCACAGAGCAACTAAGCCCGTGAGCCACAACCACTGAGCCTGCGCATCTGGAGCTTGTGCTCTGCAACAAGAGAGGCTGCAACAGTGAGAGGCCCCCGCTCGCCGCAACTAGAGAAAGCCCTCGCACACAAACGAAGACCCAACACAGCCAAAAATAAAATAAATAAATAATAAAAATTTAAAAAGCTAAAAAAAAAAAAGCTTTAAAATTTAGAAATTAAGAAGTCAATTCAACCTTCAACAGGTAAAAAAGCAGGTTAAACTGTAAGAGGTTAAAGTGTTGGCAGCAAGAAAGTAAGATAATCAATGTTGACTACTCTGAAGAAATTTAATAGAGATGGTGCTTATTTATTTTTCTTTTACCATAATTATCTATTAACTATTTTTGAAAAAGCTCGAAGATGAAAGGAAAATGAGAAAAAAATGTGATGGTTCAAAGAAGTGGAAAAAATTAGGATATTTGAACATGTTTATAAGTAGAGGGAAAGAAGCTGGAAAAGAGAAGTTAAGGAAGGTAGAGTAGTGGAGATAACTGACAAAAAGGAACCCTGGAGGAAAAGGGGAGAGTACCCCTTGCCTTCCAAGAACTGGGAAGAAGCAAAAGTTTGGGAAGAGTTAGAGAGCAATTCTGAGATGCAAGGTGGCCTGGTGACAGCTGGAAAGGGAGCAAGCTCACAGCAGAGAGGTCTCAATCCTGGCAGTCAACTCAAGGCAAGGTTAATGCATTTAGAGTGATGAAGGCAGGGGTAGGACTGAAGGCTTCTAACATGTAGAGATAGTTTAGAACAGCTGCGGTGAGGAATGTGGTAAGAACTAACAAGATGTAGAAGTAAAGTGACTGCCAAGCAGAAAGGGCTTTACGAGATGAGAGAATGAATCTGTAATGACAGGTGAAGGATCAAATATCCCCAAGTTATTCTAAACTTTAAAAGATACAACATAGGGCTTCCCTGGTGGCGCAGTGGTTAAGAATTTGCCTGCCAATGCAGGGGATACGGGTTCGACCCCTGGCCTGGGAAGATCCCACATGCTGCGGAACAGCTAAGCCTGCGGGCCACAACTGCTGGGCCCGCGTGCCACAGCTACTGAAGCCTGCGCGCCTGGAGCCCGAGCTCCGCAGCAAGAGAAGCCACCGCTATAAGAAGCCCGCGCACCACAACGAAGAGTAGCTCCCGCTCGCCGCAACTAGAGAAAGCCCGCGCACAGCAACGAAGACCCAACGCAGCCAAAAATAAATAAATAAAATAAAATCTATCTTAAAAAAAAAAAAAAAAAGATACAACATAAACACAAAAAGTATGTCAGATCACTGCTGCCTGGACTTGATATGTTGATGTAATCTTTAAAAAAAGTAATTTGGCAATGCATATCAAGAGCTTTAAAAATTTTGCACCCTTTGACCTAATGCCCCGTCTAGGAATCTATCTTAAGGTAATACTCAGGAACTCAGACAAAGATGGTCATCATCAAAATGGGAAACAGTGCAGTGCAGTGGAAAGAGCACAGGCCTTAGTCAGACTTGGGTTTGAATCCTGGCTCTGCCACCTCATAGCTGCATAACTTTGCTTAACCTCTCTGAGCCTTGGTTTCCTCATCTGTAAAATGAAGATGATGACAACTAGGTTTACAAGGTTGTTGTGAGAATTAGAGATAATACTCGTAAAACAAAGAAGAAAATGACAATTACTCTTTTTATAATTGTATAATTCAAACATCCCATAACTGAATGATTAGATAAAATACCGTATAATCTGATAATGAAACACTGTGTAGCCATTAAAAATGGGACTTCCAAAGAACTTTAAAAATATTTCAGTCTACAGAACTACTTACTCATCATCTGGAGTGAGCTGGACAGGTTCATTAGTAAACTGAGAATCAAAGTTGTCCAAACCAAATTCCCCAGAAATATTTGGTTTAAAGGGAGGTACCACCTGCTTTTGCTCCATCTAGAAAAGACATAGTGGATGACAGCTCAAGCCTGCATTCTTAGAAATATTCCACCTCTACATTTCTCTGTCCTCAGATATTTCCCAGTCTTATTAAAATGAGCCCCTAGGCATTGGTCTACAATATTCACAATGATGGAAATAATTTACAAATCTGAACATTGATGCAGGCCTCAATAATATTACAACCTGCTCCATTAAATTAATGTTCTAAGTTTTTACTGTTTCAAAAGCTTTTTTAGGGCTTCCCTGGTGGCGCAGTGGTTGACAGTCTGCCTGCCGATGCAGGGGACGCGGGTTCGTGCCCCGGTCTGGGAAGATCCCACATGCCGCGGAGCGCCTGGGCCCGTGAGCCATGGCCGCTGAGCCTGCGCGTCCGGAGCCTGTGCTCCGCAACGGGAGAGGCCACAACACTGAGAGGCCCGCATACCGGACAAAAAAAAAAAAAAAAAAAGCTTTTTTAAAAGCACTGAAGACAGTGGTTTTAAATTATTTAAGCTGTGATATACTAGTTTTTCAATATTCTTTTAAGTTAATAAATTTTGGCCCAAGAAAATAATGAAACCTAATACATAAAACAGTCCAATTTACATACCATATCCCAATCAACATTTCGGAAGAATGGGTGTCCCTGAATATCAGCAAATCCTGTTTGAGGATGACAACCCAATCGTTCCTTTGGGTCCTATGGTGGAAAGAAATGTTTCAAGAACTGGGTGAATATCCTGCTATAGAATAAATCATCTTTGTGACCTGTGTTTTGTGTCTATTATATGATACTTTTATGTCTGAACTCAGAATGGTCTACCTTTCTTTTCTATAAAGTGCAACACTAGATACTCAAATGAGTATCTGAAGCTTGTGACAAGTAAGATTTCTTCATGGCTCTCTCTCCAGCTATCCTTGTAATTCAAATGGAGAGATGTTGCCACACCTTGCTAAAGAAAAAAGAGAGGAAAAAGAACAGCAGAATCAACTGGGCAGCATCCAGCTCTTTCTTTCACATGGGTTAGAGCGATAGTCAAAATATGCAAACCCCCAAACTTTACAAGTTTGTTTTTTAGCTCAATTTAAAAGCCCTATGCACAATTACAACAACCATAATCTGTGTATAGCGCAACGATACAACCATTATCTGAATCAATGGACTGAGAAGCAGCCTGCAACTTATAAAATTATCATGAGTGAGAACATGTTCCCATTTTTCTTTGCAGTAAAAGGCATTTTGTTTTGCATATTGACACTTCTCACCTTCACTTTTCACTGTGTTAAAGCTTAGGTTTCCAGTTTAAATCTTTCCTCACATAAAATACTCATTTAAAACAAGCTTGAAGTTCTTATTTTATTAAAATTCATCATTATCTTATCTATCTATCTTAGAAAATAAATGCAGGGCTTCCCTGGTGGCGCAGTCGTTAAGAATCTGCCTGCCAATGCAAGGGACACGGGTTTGAGCCCTGGTCCGGGAATATTCCACATGCCATGGAGCAACTAAGCCCGTGCGCCACAACTACTGAGCCCGCGAGCCACAACTACTGAGGCCCGTGCTCCTAGAGCCCGTGCTCTGCAACAAGAGAAGCCACCACAATGAGAAGCCCACGCACTGCAACAAAGAGTAGCCCCCGTTCGCTGCAACCAGGGAAAAGCCCATGCAGCAATGAAGACCCAACACTGCCAAAAATTAAAAAATAAATAAAATTTATAAAAAAAAAAAAAAAGAAGTAGATTGGTGGTAGAGAGAGGGCTCTTTAAATAAATAAATAAATAAATGCATATCAGCCTACTTTCTAACCTACCATTTTTTAAAATAAGATTTTAACATAAGAATTGGAAAATTGGTTGGTGTGGAAAAAACCTACACATTTGGTGTTAGAAGTGTTATGAGTAAAGATAGTTCAGAATCGTAATCTTAGATAGATCCTAAAACTCTTCTAGCCTACCAACTGCAACAAACAACAGAATTTTCAGATGTTCAGATTTTTTTAAAGCGCCAATGATAGCATTTCATTTCTTCTGAATATTATCTAATTATAGGGTTGTGATATGAGAATTTGTAGGGAACACTACTGCCCTAAGTGCTCAATAAGTTAAGACATTCTATGAATAATAATCTAAAGAAAACTGAAAAACAGAGCTGAAAGTACAATTGAGGCTATCCCCAGAGATGCAATTTTTCCCTGAGTACATGGTATCTTTCATTTACATTAAAAACACCATATGTAATATAAAGCTGGGGGTAAATTATTATTGGCAAAATGGAAAGAACACCTCACCTCAGGATCTAATTCTGTCAACCTACTCTTTGCTGAAGAGACAAGTTCCAGATCTAACTGAAAAATTACATACTCTGATGTTTTGGAATTTTACGTTGCCTGAAACTCTCCTTACCAGCTTCATTTGTATAGAGATAAATCACTAAAGATTTTATACACAATTTATACCTTGTTGAGGAAGCTCTTCAGGACACTTGCAGCTTTTACAGACAAAGAACGTGGTATGCGAATTTGTTTTTCCAAAATAACTAGAAAGATAAAATTTACGGCATTATATTTAACTTTTACAGGGCTTTAATCTTTATATTTTTATTATGAGGTATTTAAGGCATTCTAGCAGGAAAAAACAAAGACATTACATACACTACCGAAGCGTCCTGTGTACTTTCCCAGTCCCATTCCTCTCCTTCCTTCTCAGAGACAGCCTCTATCTACTCTGAACAGTTTTTATCATTATATGCATATGTTTTATTCTTTGACTACCTTACCTTAGTTTCCTCATCTTTAAAATTGGAATAAAAATAATACCTGATTCATTGGGGTGTTATGAGGTTTAAATGAGTATCTGTAAAATGTGTGGCACATATTACTAAATTCGATTTTATTAGACGTTGCCAAATTATTCTCCAAAGCTGTTGTGTCCATTTTCACTCCTGCCACCAGAGTTCCAGTTGCTCCATATCCTCACCAGCACTAGTATTATCAGACTTTAAAGTTTTGCCAAATGTGTACGTATAAAATGGTAGCTCATTAATATTTTAATGTGCACACCCCTAATTAGCAGTGAGGTTGAACGTCTTTCCATATATTCCACAGTCAGCTGGATTTCCTATTTCCTATGAAATTATCCATTCATTTCCTGTGACGGCCTTAATTATGAAATGTAGAATTTTATGGCAGTCTTCGCACTTCTTTGGACTGTATGTTGGTGGGGGAGGGGTCCTTGTGCTTGTCTGCTTGTTTCCGTTCTGTTCAATTCTTTGTATTTCCAATTGTGGGGCTTTTTTCTTCACCTTTTGATCCCTCTTATCTTCTTGGTACTCTACTTTTTCCCCATATTGCTGTTGGACTTATGCATTCAGCCTCGTGGTCCAGGTGAAAAGACTGTCCTCTCCAGCTACACAATTCTTTCCTCCAATCTCTGTGATGTACAATCTGAAGGAACCTCTTTGTTATGATTTTGAGTATGAGAAGGTAACTAGTAAATGTGAACAGACTAAGAGGTAGGAAGGATAGATCAAAACGAGAACAAAAACAAACTCAAAGCCTCATGTGTTAAGGACTATATTGTCCAGATTATTCTCCTCTTTCTTACTCAAAGTAATAACTTGAGCCATCCTCATTCATGCTCTAGAATAGATTATTCACAGTGAATCTCTGTAAAACACTGCAAATTACCTTGAAAAAGATAATCCTCTGTGTTTTGATCAGGGTTATCGGAGCTCCCAACAATATCAAATGGAGACCTTCCTGCCATCATCTCAAACATTAGTACTCCAAGAGCCCACCAGTCGACGCTGAAACCTTCAAAAAGAAATTTTAAAGCAACAAATTATCCATTCTGCATTCTAAAAAGTCAGTAATTTGAGATTCATTTTATTACATAATAAAAAAAATAATGAAAAAGTAAACTCGAAATGCATTACAACTATCATGGTAGGTATCGAGGATTATAGGAATATTTCACTTAACAAAAAGGGGAGGTACCTAAAAGATAACTTTAAAAATAAAATATGGAAAATGGAACATAAGTTTCGCTTCCCAAATATGTCTGTAATTTCAGACTCATAGCCTGTATCTAATATTTTGCTTTGAGGATATAATGAAATTGTATTTGAGAATAACCTTCCTTGATCTGAAATGTGATCTTCTGCTAGCTGACTAAAGATCCTTGAAGGACTTTGGAACCGGATTATGAGCAGCTATCAGAAATACCCATCCTCCTTTACAGCTGCTGGAATCAAAGGGCCAGAACCCAAAGGGTCAAATGTTTTCTTGAGATAAACATATCCTCTGGTTCCTGGCAAGCAGGCAATCTTTCCTCCATCTTTCAGATTCCTGAGGGAAATACCCTAGGAAATCTGAACAATCTTCCAGAGGTTTATGACTCTGGAGTCACATGGCTGATTAAATCCCAACTCTGCCACTTTCTAGCTACATGATCTTGGGCAAGTTATTTAACCTTTCTGTACATCAGTTTCCTTGTTTGCAAAATGTGAATTAACAGTGCTTACCTCATAGGATTATTATAAGAGGATTAACAGCTAACATATGCAAACTGCTTAGAATAGTGCCTAGTACTCTTAAGTGCTTGCTACTAATAAAATATTATTCAAATTTGCATCTCCAAATACTGCCAAGGTCCCACCGTCTCTGATTTCAGAATTTGGGGGTTTTATGTAGGTTTTAAGAAGATCAAGAAAGCTTATGTTAATAAGCTCAGTACTGAAATACTATAGTGTACTATAATGCAATTGGTACCACATTTAACCACCCTTCTAGCACATAGCCAAAATACCACCAATTTATTACCATAATCTTCTCCTCGTAAAATTTCAGGAGCAATGTAATTAGGAGTACCACAGAAAGTGCTGGTTGTATCTCCCGGCCGTAATCCTTCCTTTTATTAAGAAAAAAGAAAAAAATAATAAGATGCAAAATCTGTTTTAAATTCACCTCTTTTATTTCATCTATCATATAAGGTCAGCATCTATAGGTAATATATTGAGCTTAAATAAAATATCACTAGCACAGTTGCCTTTACTATTAAAATCATGGGTTGCTACTAAATACCTTAAAAAAAAACCTGTCCTCATTAGATGTAGGTAAACAGTCAGTTCAATTAAGATAAAAACGGCACTTAAAATAATTTACACTCAAGTAAAATTATAATAGAAAAACTTAAATCACATGAGTAAAAGGAATCATATTTTATGAAGAAAAGAAGCTCTTTAAATCCCACCTCCTAACACAACCACTGCTGGCATTATGATGTTTCCCTTCTGGTCATTTCTCCTAAGGCACACGTTTTTCGGTTTTGTATTTTAATAGCTACAGGATGGAGGAAATTAAGGTAAAACACACTAATATGTATAAATAGAGAAACTACACAATAACAAATGGAACAATCACCAAGAAGTTAAAACAAACTTGTATGTAGCTAACAACACAGCCTCAAAATACAACTAGTAAAAATGGACAAAATTATTAAGAGGACTTCACAATCCCTGCTATTGCCTGAATGTTTACGTGCCCCTAATATTCTTATGCTGAAGCCCTAATGTGATAGCATTGGGAGGGGGGGCCTTTGGGGAGGTAATTAGATCATAAGGTTTGAGCCCCATGATGGGATTCATGTTCTTATAAGAAGAGAAAGAGAGCTAGCCCCTTTCTCTCTCCCCACCATTTGAGGATACAATGGGAAGACAGCCATCTGCAAACCACGAAGAATGCCTTTACTCTTCTGCAAACCAGGAGGGGTGCCTTCAGACACCAAATCTGCCAGCACCTTCATCTTGGACTTCCCAGTCTCCAGAACCATGTGAAATAAGTGTTTGTTGCTTAAGCCACCTAATTTGTAGTACCTTGTTATAGCAGCCTGGACCGATAGTACAATCCCCAATCATGACAGGTAATTTTAACACATTTATATCAAAAAATGGTAGGTCATACCAACAAAAAAATTAGTAAGCAGAGAAAGATTTGGACAAAAGCTAAAGTTAAAAATATGTATAGTTTACATACATATAGAATATATATATCTACGTGTATGTGTGGAAAAACGGAAAAGGAGGGAGAGACTCCTTGAATACAAAACAGAGATTACATACCCTTTCTTTTTTTTTTTTTTTTTGCGGTTCGCGGGCCTCTCACTGTTGTGGCCTCTCCTGTCGCGGAGCACAGGCTCCGGACGCGCAGGCTCAGCGGCCATGGCTCACGGGCCCAGCCACTCCGCAGCACGTGGGATCCTCCCAGACTGGGGCACGAACCCGTGTCCCCTGCATTGGCAGGCGGACTCTCAACCACTGCGCCACCAGGGAAGCCCTACATACCCTTTTTAAAGTACATTTGGGATACTGACCAAATACTAAGGCATAAAAGAAACCTCAATAAATTTCAAAGGACTAATATCATTCAGACCATTCTTGCGCCACAGGCAATTAAATGAGAAAGAGCCAAAACAATCTTGAGAAAGAAAAGAGTTGGAGGAATCAAGCTCCCTGACTTCAGACTATACTACAAAGCCACAGTAATGAAAACAGTGTGGTACTGGCACAAAAACAGACACATAGATCAATGGAACAGAAAGAGAGAGTCCATAAATAAGCCCATTCACTTGTGGTTAATTAGTCTATGAAAAAGGAAGCAAAAGTATACAGTGGAGAAAAGACAGTCTCTTCAATTAGTGGTGCTGGAAAAACAGGACATCTACACGTAAAAGAATGAAATTAGAATATTTTCGCACACCATATACAAAAATAAACTCAAAACGGATTGTAGACCTAAATATAAGACCAGAAACCACAAAACTCCTAAAAGAAAACATAGGCAGAATACTCTTTGACATATATTGTACCAATATATATATTTTTTGATCTATCTTCTAAGGCAAAGGAAACAAAAGCAAAAATAAACAAATGGGACCTAATTAAACTTTGAAGTTTTTGCACAGCAAAGGAAACCACTGACAAAATACTACTGGAATACTACTCAGCCACAAAAACAAATGAGATTTTGCCATTAACAACAACATAGATAGACTTGGAGGGTTATTATGCTATTGAAATAAGTCAGACAGAGAAAGACAAATACTGTATGCTATCACTTATGTGTGGAATTTAAAAAATAAAACAAACAAATGAATATAGTAACAACAACAAAAACAGACTCACAGATATAGAGAATAAACTAGTGGCTACCAGTGGGGAGAGGGAGAGGGAGAAGGAAGGGACAAAATAGAGGTAGGAGATTAAGAGGCACAAACTACTATGTATAAAATAAATAAGCTACAAGGGTATATTGTACAGCACAGGGAATATAGTCCAATTTTATAATAACTATAAATGGACTACAATCTTTAAAAACCTTAAATCAGTATGTTGTACATCTGAAACTTACATAATACTATAAATCAACCATACCTCAATTAAAACTAAAAATAATAAAAAGATAGTCTAAATACAAGCTGAATAATATTAAATATACAATTAAGCATCTGCTTTTTTTACTTTATAGCTATGTAATTTCCCATGTAATTACAGACTTCGTATTATTAATAACTACAAACCCAACTCAACATATGTACCTAGAATCTAACCATTTCCCTATTGTTAAATTACATGGTACAAAATTCCAAACAAAAAGGTTGGGGGGGAAGATATACACTAAAAATCAAGCCTTGGGCTTCCCTGGTGGTGCAGTGGTTGGGAGTCCGCCTGCCGATGCGGGGGACGCGGGTTCGTGCCCTGGTCCAGGAAGATCCCACATGCGCGGAGCGGCTGGGCCTGTGAGCCATGGCCGCTGGGCCTGCATGTCCGGAGCCTGTGCTCCGCAACAGGAGAGGCCACAACCGTGAGAGGCTCGCGTAACACACACACACACACACACACACAAAATCAAGCCTTCTTCCCATTCTTGTCCCTGATGCATCCAGTTCCAGCTCCCTAGGGACAGCCACTGTCATGAGGTTCTTATGTGTTCCTACAGAGATATTCTGGGCGTGATGTATGTATTTGTCTTCAAATTTTACACTATTGTATATAACACTAACACAAACAACTAGAAGAAATATTTAGTAATATATGTTGTGACTCCAAGGATTTTTTAAAGATCTCTAACAGGGATATATATGTTATTTTTGTATACAGGCATATATGGAGATACTGCAGTTTGCTTTCAGACCCCCATTTATGACATCACAATAAATTGAGTCACATGAATATTTTTGGTTTCCCAGTGCATATAAAAATTATGTTTACACTACACTGTAATCTATTAAGCGTGCAAAAGCATTATGTCTAAAAAACAAAGTGAATACCTTAAATAAAAAATACTTTAAACACAACATTGTAAATCAACTATATTTCAATAAAAATAAAAAAAAAACTTTATTGCTAAAAAATGCTAACAAGGACTTCCCCTGGTGGTCCAGTGGTTAAGAATCTGCCTTCCAACACAGGGGATGAGGGTTCAATCCCTGGTCGGGGAACTAAGATCCCACATGCTGCAGGGCAACTAAGTCTGCACACTGCAACTACTGAGCCCGCATGCTCTGGAGCCCATGCACCACAACTAGAGAGAAGCCTGCACGCTGTAGCAAAAGAATCTGTGTGCTGCAACTAAGACACAATGCAGCCAAAAATAAATAAATAAATATTAAAAAAAAAATGCTAACCATCATCTGACAACACAGGATTGCCAAAAAACATCAACTTGTAGAAAACGCAATATCTGTGATATCTGTGAAGCACAGTAAAATGAAGTATGCTTGTACAAAGAAATATGAATGTGATTTAAGTTGTTTTGTATTATGGGCAATGGCTTGACATACAGTCTCATGGTGAGTGACATGCACTTTCAGGGTAAGACTCAGAGGCAAGGGATGCAGTCTGCTATCTTGTAAAAGAACTATACTAAATCATTCACCTTTTGACTGGATATCTGAACATAGGCCCATCAGCTAAATTATCTACAGCATAACATAGATATTATTATAACACACCCTGCTGATAAAAAATAGTTAAAGGCACATCAATTCACAAAATAGCTGGTTTTTCAGTCAATAAAAAAAATCAATGTTCATAAAATATTCCAAACATAACTCTGAAGATGCTAATTGCAGTTTTCATATGCCTCCAGTCATCACTATTCTCGGCATTCTTTTTAAACTTTTTAAATACATTTTACAAAGTATTTATTGAATTTGTTACAATATTGCTTCTGTTTTATGTTTTGGTATTTTGGCCACAAGGCATGTGGGATCTTAGCTCCCCGATCAGGGATCAAACCTGCACCCCCTGTATTGGAAGGCGAAGTCTTAACCACTGGAACGCCAGGGAAATCCCTCTTTTTTTTTTTTTTTTTAATATTTATTTATTTAGGTGACGCAGGATCTTCATTGCTGAGTACGTGATCTTTAGTTGTGGCATGCAGGATCTAGTTCCCTGACCAGCGATCAAACCCGGACGCCCTCCACTGGGAGAGCGGAGTCTTAACCACTGGACCACCAGGGAAGTCCCTGCATTCTTTATATAAAAGTATCTAGTGAGAAACTGAAGAAATTAAATTAATTAAACCTAAAGAAAGTATTTCTGGAGAAACTATGAAAAAAAACTTGAATGATTTAGATTTACCAAAGAATAATTATAAGGAAAAGAAATTTATCCAATATATGCCCAAGGTCAGACATTAGGTAAGTTTAAATACTGATGTTAAGTCATAAGGTAAGAACATTCAAATTTCCAGCGGATTTATTTCCCATAAGGTTTAACATTGGGTGTAAATATGTTAGTTGGAAAAGAGACAAAGTACTGTTGGTTAAGTCTCTGAACACAAGTTCCAATCCTGGTGTTATTTCCTACTAATAACACCAAATAGCTCCTGGAGAAGGAGGCAGAAAAGGAGGTATGCAAGGCAACCAACTTAAAGAACTACTGAATAAAACCTCTCAGATTTATCAAAGATCGTGACTAACTTGATTAAGGATCTCTGGAAAGAATGGGAATATATAACAAACCACTATTATTTTTCATTAAGAGTAACAAAAAGATCAAGTGATTTTTCTCTAATAATATCTTCCACGCAAAACAGGATGCCCAAATTTCTTTGAATAAAAAGAACCAGGCTCTGGAGGCACTTCCCTCAGTTGAATGGCGAAAGGCAAATAACACATTCGCATGCTTGTTGCCAAATTCACTGTGTGAAGATAATTCGGTCCCAGCTATTTTGACAAGAGTAGCCCCCTACACATCTCCTGGAAAAAGACTGGACCCGTAAATGAAACACTGTTACAAAAAGAATAAAACACCAAGAAATAAAGGACATGTCCTGAGAGTAACTAAAATTCTTATTTTGCTTTACTGAATTTTATGAATTTTACACATCTCCTGGAAAAAGACTGGACCCATAAATGAAACATTGTTACAAAAAGAATAAAACACCAAGAAATAAAGGACATGTCCTGAGAGTAACTAAAATTCTTATTTTGCTTTACTGAATTTTATGTCAGATATTTAAATTTAAATATATAAAAAAATGTTAGATTTCCTAGGAAAATCTTGAGTGCATCATTAAGAGTCACAATTAAATGGCAAAAACTGGAAGGTGATATGCAAGCAGTTTTACAGTTGTGGGTTTGTAGATGGTTTTTACCTCCAAATTTTCTTCAATACTGTCACAACTTTGAAGATAAAAAATTACAGAAAATAAAAAGAACTTAACTCTTATAGCACATATAATGCTCACAGAAAATATGGAATTTTGTAAATGGCTAGGAAATCAGTACATTTGTCTTTGTTTAGGATACTTTTTGGAATTCTAGCACAAAGTAGCACTTACTTCCCCATCATTAAATATAAAGTTATTTGACTGAAACAATTTCCTGAGCTGCTGAGATCTTCTGAATAACTAGAAATTTCCCCTCACCTTACACATGCCATAGTCAGTGAGTTTAATGTGTCCTTCAGAGTCCAGCAACACGTTGTCCAATTTCAAATCTCTATAAATTATCCCCCGTTCATGAAGATAATTTAACGCTAGACTGATTTCTGCGGAGTAAAATCTAAAATAAAATGAAAAATTACTCATTTGATTCAAATTTTTAAATTGTGGTGAGTGCCTACAGAAAGGTATTTAAATCCTACTCCCATCTGCAAACCAGAACATCAAAATCATGTCAAAAGATTTTTTTCTCTCAATGTTTTTAGGAACAGTACCAAAACACAAACTGAAGTGCCACTTTAAGATAGCTGAGCCCGAAACACAATTATAAAGTTCCAATCTAAATTAAACCCATACTTTTCATAAGGTTTAATTTGAAAGTCTCAAGCAGGGATTCTTAATCTGGGCCCTTGGATGGACTTCAGAAAGTCCACACTCCTACAACTGGACGCGAGCAGAATTTGGTGGTAAGCAGAATTTTTGACCTGAATAATGAAAATGAAACACCCTAGCTGGTTTTTGGCTGCTTTGGTGGATGTTATCATGATCATGTTTGGAGGTACATAATACACACCTTCCAGCTACCTAATTCTAAGAATAGGGAACTTGAGCTCTTATCCTATACTCTGGTTCCTAGAAAAGCAAAGATGATATAAAACAAGAATGGGCACTTTAATACAATAAAAACAAGACTATTTTCCCCAAGTCCAGCTGAACAAACAAGGAACAAATACCGGCTATATTCACAATTCAAAATATCATCTGTGGCTTTGCCATGAAGGGTGACCATTTGCTAAAGCCTACATAAATAATGAACATACAGTAAATTAAACAACAACAACAACAGCAGCAGTTTGGCCCCAAGACAGATTAATACACTTTATACCTTCTTATAAAATTGAAACCTATTATCTCTTTTTGACAAGAAATATCAATGAATAGCAAGATTTCCACTAAAGTTATTTTTTAAAATGAATCTCTAACCTTTGTTACATACATATACAAACTCAAATGTTTCATTTTGGCATTACTCTTGTGAAGTGCAAAAGGGTAGATTGCTAATTATGAGTAAAAAACAAAATAAAACATGGCACTCATGGATTAAACTTCTTATCCTTCCCCACCTAAGTCCTCTAACAACTTACAATCCTGTATAAGAATACCAAATTAAGGGCACTAAACAAATAAATGATATTTTATACTCTTTTCTCTTATTAATCAACATGTATGGGATCAGAGGGGGGGGAAGCCAAAGCCAGAACAATTCAGAAATTATAATTATGGAAGAACAGTCGATTACATAATAGGTTAAGAGGAATTGTTTTATTACTCTCAAGTATATATGAATAATCTAATGAAAAACTGTCAGCGATCACTGCAAACTTGATAAGATTAATAAGTGTTTATAAATTCATTAATTATCTTAGTGGCTGATACTGAATAGATAAAATATTTGAAAATAATTGAGTTTCATAGACTAAAGGTTTCTGCTTTAACATTGTTTGTACTTCTCAATTGCTTATAATTATATTATTATATATGTAATATATATCACATTATAATTTAACTGTTAGCTTAGCCTTTACATGACTTATAAAGAATTAGCTCGTATCAAAATAAATGATTTATCTACTGTTTTCAACCACTGGCATATAAAAAGTCCCATAGCTCCTCCCACCAAGCTTCAACACAAGCAAACAATAAACAAAAAACTTACCTGGCATGTTCTTCAGGAAGTTTTCTTTGTCGCTGCATATGAAACATTAGATCGCCTCCATTAACATACTCTATGACAAAGAACAATCTAAAAAACAGGACAGAACATATGAAACCAAGATCCAAAATAAGGTGGTGTAACTTTGCATTTTAAAACTAGAGACCAGTCACAGCATAGAGAGCATTCTACATGATTCACCCTTAACAAAAATTCCAGGAATTTGGTGGAAATGAAGGGTGATTGGAGTAGAAAGCTGTTTAATCACAGAAGATAAAAGAAAGTAAATCAGAAAGATAATTTGTAAACTGCTACTTCTATTCTAAAGTATTGGGTTGGCCAAAAAGTTCGTTTGGGTTTTTCCATAAGATCTTAACGAAAAACCCGAATGAACTTTGTGGCCAAGCCAATAGTACCATTTGCAATCCAGAGCTCTCACTCCCACCCCAGTTTTAGAATGTGCAATGTGTAAGTCATTTTCAACTGTCACTTAAGGCAAAAGAAGTTAGAATCTATCCCCCTAGTTAAACTCTAGGAACATTTAAGTCCTAAAACTAGAATCTTGGTGATATTTAAAAGGTTGGATTTCTACTGCCATAATTATGACCTGGCTATTTTTTTTTTTTTTTTTGGCCTAAAGCAGGTAATTTCCTAATCCTGATCCAATGTCAAATTAATATCACTGGTTGGAGTATGAGTAGCAGGAAATTACAAGCATAGTACTGTTGTGTCTGTCTCCATGTGACTTCCACTTTAGGAATTACTGTAGAAAGGGGTTCTTATTGTGTAATATACCAAAATGTGTAAAACCCAGGTATCATTCCATTATCTTTCAATCTTACCTGCTTTCTGTCTGGAAGCAAGAATGCAGCCCAACAAGAAAAGGGTGATTAGATGCCTGCTCAAAAACATGCTTCTCTGTCTGTACCCAGTCAATATCCTATTTTAAAATACAAAAGAAATCTATGTCAAACTGAAATGATATCATCAAAACTATGATAAATTTGTTCTTAGTAATTCTATTACCATAAATGCAATTATTAACTAACTAGGCTAAGTATCAAAAGCATTGATAATCATGAAATAGTAATTTATATACAAAGAGAAAATACTACCAGTAAATCTTTCGATATTATGCAACAGTCTAGAAAACTTTACAAAGCTCAAGTACTTGCCCTTGATAATAATATGGTTTGATTTTTATTTTAAAAAAATCTAATAATCCTCAGATAACTTTATTTATTTATTTATCTGGCTGTGTTAGGTCTTCACTGCTGCACGCAGCCTTTCTCGAGTTGTGGTGAGCAGGGGCTACTCTTCGTTGTGGTGCACGGGCTTCTCATTGTTGCGGCTTCTCTTGTTGCAGAGCACGGGCTCTAGGCGTGCAGGCTTCAGGAGTTGTGGCGTGTGGGCTCAGTAGTTGTGGCTGAGTAATAGTCCATTGTATATATGTACCACATCTTCTTTATCCATTCATCTGCTGATGGACATTTAGGTTTTTTCCATGTCTTGGCTATTGTGAATAGTGCTGCTATGAACATAGGGGTGCATGCATCTTTATGAATTACAGTTTTGTCCGGATATATGGCGAGGAGTGGGATTGCTGGGTCATGTGGTAATTCTATTTTTAGTTTTTTAAGGACCCTCCATACTGTTCTCCATAGTGGCTGTATCAATTTACATTCCCACCAACAGTGCAAGAGGATTCCCCTTTCTCCACATCCTCTCCAGCATTTGTTTGTAGATTTCTGATGATGCCCATTCTAACTGGTGTGAGGTGATACCTCATTGTAGTTTTTATCTGCATTTCTCTAATAATTAGTGATGTTGAGCAGCTTTTCATGTGTCTCTTGGCCATCTGTATGTCTTCTTTGGAGAAATGTCTACTTAGGTCTTCTGCCCATTTTTGGATTGGGTTGCTTGTTTTTTTAATATTGAGCCGCATGAGCTCTATATATATTTTGGAGATTAATCCTTTGTCCATTGATTCATTTGCAAATATTTTTCTCCCATTCTGAGGGTTGTCTTTTCATCTTGTTTATAGTTTCCTTTGCTGTGCAAAAGCTTTTAAGTTTCATTAGGTCCCATTTGTTTATTTTTGTTTTTATTTCCATTACTCTAGGAGGTGGGTCAAAAAAGATCTTGCTGTGATTTATGTCAAAGAGTGTTCTTCCTATGTTTTCCTCCCTGAAACAACCATTATTAACACTTAACTTCTACAAACTTACAATTAGTTATATTAAAAATAAATGTGATACTCAAAACTAATTATTTTATTATATGTAACCATTATCTATGCTCTTGAGGTTATTTACAACTGTTACATCTGTACGTAGTTGTGGCTCACAGGCTCTAGAGTGCAGGCTCAGTAGTTGTGGTGCATGGGCTTAGTTGCTCCGCAGGATATGGGATCTTCTCAGACCAGGGATTGAAGCCATGTCCCCTGCACTGGCAGGCGGATTCTTAACCACTGCGCCACCAGGGAAGTCTCTATCAGATAACTTTAAATGTACCTTAAATAATCTGTTTGAAGCATGTATTTAGAAAAGTAGGCTGAGATAATAAGGCATAAACATTGAGGTTTTTTTTCTGAAATAGTACACTTAAGCCAACTTAACAGTTTAGAGGTAATAAAACATCATAGTGCTTACCTCATCATCATTGACAAGCTCTTTTTTGACAACTTTCATTGCATAAATACGATCTGTTTTTTTTAATCGCACCAATAGTACTTTGGCATAACTCCCTCTTCCTATTACCCGGAGCAAATCAAAATCCTGAAGACCTAAACTGGATGAAGCTTTGCCACTTTCCCTGGTGTTCATTGCCTGTTGAGAACATTTATAGCAAACAGTTATACCTGAAGTATTTTGCATAACACAATACACTTCTAACACCTAGTTATACCTATAAGATTTTAAAATATTTTCTGATTTAAGTTCTTAATTAGTTTCTTACATTATTCCAAATGATATAATCTAACTATTCAAGAGGTAGGATGAATTCATGAGTTGAGGTCAGAGGGGTGGTGTTAGGAAAGGAGAAGGAGTTGAAATCTGAGAAACATTGAAGGATGTCTTAGAATCTGATAACTTTTGGGTATGGAGGCAGTGGAGACACATGAATAAAAAAATGACACTAACTTTGGTGACTGGGACTCTGGAGGTGCCACTGATAGAAAAATAAAGTGTGAGCACACGGTAAGATTGACAGAGTTGATGAGATAATGAGCTCGATTTTTCATACTGAAGTTAGAAGTTACAATGGGACAACAAGATGAAAGAGTCTGCCAGAAGCTTAATGTATGAAATCTGAGTTAAGCTACAGGCAGAAAACAAGCATGAGACAGTTCAGCTAATGTAAAACATTCTTTTCTATACAATACCAAGACTCCTGTGGAATGACAAAGCCAGCCCTGTAATTCATTCACAAGTAGAAACTTAGGCTTCTGGAAATTTATAAAGAAGACTAAAGATAATCTTTTATTAGATGCCTGCAAAATTCCCAGCATACAACCAACTGATATACTCATGAGAATTAAGTATGAATTTTCTGAAGTGAAGAGTATCAGCAAAAGCAAGGAGCAAATTTTCAGAAAGATAAACTAGTAAGCACAAAACAGGAAAAAAAAAAAGTATTATGAAAATTGAAGGAGGATGATTATCCAAAAGAAAATTTAGAAATAATAATCTGACTTGGTAATAAGAATAAATAAAAAGGAGTGAAAGAAACCAGATTAGGGCAGATTAAGAAAGCAGAAAATGGTAAAAAGACAAAGCAATGTATAGACTTTAAATATGGTTAACTGGAAGCTATAAAAGAGAATCAAATGGAATGAAAGCACAGTTCCTTCACATAAACAATAATAAGGCTGAATGAAATGACAGAAGCCAGAAAACAGTGGAATGTCACCTTTTAAATGGCTTACCCCTTCCCCCCCTTGCTTATGTACAATCCTACAGCCTGTAAAAATAGCCTTCAAAATGAAAATGAAATAAATACATTTTCAGACAAACAAAAACTAAGGAAATCCGTCACTAGTTGGTTCTCACTCAAGGAAATACTGAGTTCTTCAAGAAGAAGAAAGATGATCTCATATGGAAGGCAGACACACAGGAACAAAAGCAGAACAAAAAGAATAAAATGTGGATAAACCTAAATAAGGATTGACTGTTTGAAAGCACTAACACACATATACAGAATTTTAAAATATGACAAAAATAGCAGTAAAGACAGGAAGGGAGCATGAGTGAATTTAAAGTGTTCTAAGGTCCTTGCATATCCTGGAAAATGGTAAAAAGTATTATTAATAATTTGTATTGAATTTAAATAAGTTAAGGGTATAAGATGCAATCTCTAGAACAACCAGTAATAAAAAAGCAAAAGAATGCGAAACAAGCTAAAAGAGGTGAGAGAGAAAAAAAAATTAACCCAAAAGAAGCCTAGAAAAGTAACATAAATAGATGATACAGAAAACATAGTAAATTGGTAGATTTAAATACAAATAAGTTGTTAGTTTAAATATACTTACATTAAATGTAACAATACATAAATATTAAGACACACTAAATACTACAGCTAAGGACTATCAAACCAGAGGGGCAAGTCCAATTCTATGATGTTAATAAGATATATATGTGTACAGAAATGTTCAAAGTAAAAGGGTAAGAAACTATATACCATGTAATCATTAACCAAAAGAGAGCTGTAGCTAAAGTAATATGAGACAAAGTAGCTGTAGCCAACTGTGGTAGGCTGACTTCTACCAGGACCCCAGTGATCCCCACCTCCTAGTATTCATGCCCTTGTGTAATCCCCTCGAGTACAGGCTGGACCTAATGACTAACTTCTGATGAAAAAAATATGGCAAAAAATGAAGGGATGGCACTTCTGAGACTAGGTTACAAAAGACTGTGAGGTCTGTCTTACTGGCATTCAATCTCTGGATCTTATTGCTTGCTTGCTCTGATGAAGCAAACTACCTTGCTGTGAGCTGCCCTATGGAGAGGCCACATGGCAAGGAAGTGAATCCTGCCAACAGTGAGGTGAGTTAAGTATGGAAGCAGTTTCTTCCTCAGTTGAGCCTTGAGACGACAGCAGTCTTTGCCAGTACACTGACTGCAGCCTCTAAGGGACTCTGAGACAAGAACCTGGATTCCTGACCCACAGAAATTATGACATAATAAATTTTGTTGTTTTAAGCCACTATATTTTAAGGTAATTTGTTACACAGCAATCACTTAACATAAGGACTTTAGGCAAGGAAGCATTACTACAAATAGAGAGGGGTGTTTCTTTATGAAAAGGCATTAATCCAATGTAAGATACTATGATTCTAAATCTACATGTATTCAATAACATAGCCTCAAAATATGTAAAGCAAAAACTAACAAAACTAAAAGGGACAGGTAAATTCTAAATGAAAACTGTTTGTAGGGAA